AACATAGCCGAGCCCTTGTCGGTAATCTTCAATATGTCTCTGGACCAGTCTAAATGTCCAAGAGACTGGAAAGATGTCATCATTAGTCCGGTCTTCAAAACCGGATCTAGAAACTTAGTTCAGAACTATCGTCCTGTTAGTTTGACCAGTATTGTTGTTAAACTACTAGAAAGAATAATTCGTGATGCTATTATTCAGTTCATTGAAGGGAACAAACTTTTCGCTGTGGAACAGCATGGTTTTAGAGCAGGTCATTCTTGCTTGACCAACCACCTTCTTTTGGCCAGAGAAAGTTGGGCAAGCTCAGCTGATGCTAATATACCGGTGGATGCCATATTCATCGACGTTAGCAAAGCGTTTGACAGGGTTTCTCATTCAGGTCTTCTAGTAAAGTTAGGTAGTATGGGAATCAATAAAGTGGTTGCTGACTGGATTCAAGATTTTCTAAACGACAGAAGACAAAGAGTACGAGTTCATGGGGTTTTACCAACATGGGAATCGGTTAAGAGTGGCGTTCCTCAGGGTACAATTCTAGGCCCACTTCTTTCTCTGATTTATGTTAATGAGATTCCATCGGTAGTTAAGTCATCCGGCCTACTGTTTGCTGATGACATCAAGATATGGAGGGCTTTACGCGATGACAGTGATCAACTTGCTTTGCAGGAAGATTTAAACTTGTTAAGTTATTGGTGTAAGCACTGGGCCTTGGAGATTAACTTAAGCAAGAGTGTAGTTATGCATGTATCTCATAGTCACGTGCACAATTACTCAATGAATGGCATTACTCTCCCAGTGGTCACTGAGTACAAGGACTTGGGAGTGGTTGTGCAGCATGACTTGAAAACAGCAACAAACTGCAGAGCTGCAGCCACTAAGGGTTTTCGAATATTATGGGCCATACGCAAGGCTTTTGCGAACTCTGACGCTGAAATATTTCGTATATTATATCCGACTTATATCAGACCTCATTTGGAATATGGGATCCAGGCAGCGAGCCCGTGTCTCAAATACGAAACAGACGTATTAGAAAGGGTGCAAAGAGTAGGAACTAAGCTAATAAAGGGTTTCTCAACCCTCTCATATGAAGAGAGGTTAAGTCGACTGGGTTTATTTCCACTGTCATACAGACGACTTAGGGGTGACCTAATACTAGCATACCGTATCCTAAGAAATGATTTTGGAGCAAATTTATCTAATTTATTTCTTCCTTCTAGCACCAACCAATTGCGAGGACATCACCTCAAGGTTCAAAAACCACGGTCGAATCGTCTGCGTTTGGAGATCCGTTTTTCGCATCGGATTGTGAACCATTGGAACTCCCCACCGGAACACGTCGTATCAGCGCCATCCACTGATTCATTCAAGGCGAGATTGGACCTCCTGTGTGTAACAAATCGAAAGGATTAACACAGGCATATAGCCTACCCAAGCTTACAATAATGCTGAATTAAATCTCAGTAATTCTGAAATAATTCTTGCATCCTATAGTGAGTAAATTCTGAATCTGTTCTGAAATGGTTTGTTTAATGGCACAGACTAGAACTCAGTGCTGGTTTTCATCATGACTAGAACGAATTCAGCACCGTGTTCTTTTTCTAGGCATTATCAGGAGTAGATCAGAACATACTGGGTTTCCTTATCAGCGTTGTTCCAGCCATTACAGGACATATTAAGCACTGACTAGCATTACTTCAGAACGAAAAGACCTAATTCAACACATAGTGGCAATTTTTTCAGCTTAATTCTAGCCTTCTCAGCACGTATTCAGCACATAATTAGGCATGCAGTGCTTATTTTCAGCATTGAAGGCATTATTTCAGATGCTGATCTTTTTTTTAAGATTTTGTCGCATTAATTCAGCACCCAGCTCTCTTTTTAAGCACGACCAGCGTTATTTAAGAACATAGTGGGTAGAAAAAATTTTCATTTACCATAAAAAGGCATTATCGACGCATAGGTTAGAATAAGATTAGAATTGGGCGAAGTTCTACAATAGAGTCCCAAGATTGTAAATGTTCCAATGACCTTGTGAATGTTCCAATGACCCTGAACGCATGCTAGTCATTGGTTGAGGAAGGTCACCATTATTCTAGCGCGAATAATTGTGCATATTGGTAAGCGACGCTGAATTAATTGTCTTCTAGGAACTTTCTTTGAAAAGTTGAAACTGTCTTTGATGATTGGTTGTTATTGGTGTCGAAAGTTTAACTTTGCCTGAATATCTTGTTTCTGTCCAATTACTGGGTGCCAGAGCGAATAACGTTTGGGTACATCATCATAGAGTGAACCATTCGAATGATTCTGTCGACCCTGTCATACTCATAATAATTCCATCGAAGGTTTCTGGGGAAGACTGAAAAATAGAATCTGAGCTATCAACGGATCACAAAACGAAGTTATTTTCAGTCATTTGAATGAAGACATGTATAGAAATTGGTTTAATTTAAAAACTGAAACTCCTCTTAATAATTGGAACATTTTTTATCTCATATTAGAGAAGAGTACCCTGTTTGATTTTTTTCATGCTTATTTATGTAAAAATACGTAAAATTTTATGCGAAAATCATCCTTTTTTCTGATTAGTCGGTTCAAGGTCACTTGTGCGTTCGTTCCTTGGGACTCTATTGTAGAACTTCGCCTAGAATTGTTGTAAGCTTGGGTACTATCCTAAATAAATTGTAAACTGTTTTGCATTTCCTTTTCCCTTAAAGTTAATATTCTTTTTTATCCTTTGCTTTCTGAATGCACCACAGGGCTTCATACTTTTAAATTTTTAGTAGCGATGATATTGTTTCCATGGGGTCAGTATCTTCGACTGAAATTATCCGGCACGCTCAAGGCCGTTAACTGGAAAGTTCATTTCAAGGTCATTCCCACCCACGTTAGGTTGTCATGTCGGATTGCTAACCGTTCGTTCATATTCCATTTCATCTTTTTCCTGCAGTCATTTACAATTAATCTCAATTTAGGTTATTCATTAATGTTTGCGTTTGACATCCTTTTGGTTTTCGTTGCCGTATAAGTCGGTTATTGCATTTGTTTCATAAGTTAATGCCAACAGGTTAGTTCATTCATTCAATTTTTATTGTTTCATACGTTGTTTTCATCCCTTCTTCTAATGTTTTAGTTATTTTTCACCTGTTAATGGAATACTGTTATGTCGAAGTTTTGAAAATTATGCACATGAACATGTTTTGGCGGCATATGCTGATGTTTCCAATTCTTTTATTGGTTGCTGTTATTGCTATTTGTTCAAATGGTTACTTAATTTGGATAAATCTGTAAAAAACAATGTCTTTCCTGTTGATTTTTATATTATGTAAGCATCTACTAGTAATTCTTGCGAACAAAGCTCAATTAGGGTTGACATTAGCAAGGCTTCGAATTCAGCCTTCCCTCCTTTCCGAGACTATTGTCACTTGGCAAACCAGTCAGAGTTTAGGAATGTGTTGGCCAGGAATCAAACCGGGACCACATGTGTGGTTGGCGAGCATTCTAGAAGTCCACATAAACTTTATTACTGAACTACATGAAAACCACTACATACATTGCTTTAAGTGTTGTATTAGAGGGATTTAAACGATTTCAAAATATATTTCCTCACAAATCTATATAAGTTAGAAAGCCCTTGAAAATCAGAAAGCACCTGATGTCTGTTTCATTGTAGTTCAGGAATCATTAACCTTATGATTAAACAATTAAAATCCAATCTATTTCTCATCAGTAACTAACTAAGGGATGGACTTCCCGTAGTTCTAAACATGTGTGCAGTGGCTAGGAAGGGAAAGTTAGTCAGTGCTCTTTTATTTTCAGTGATTATCCAATTTGGTGCGTGATAAAATCCACCTTGGAATCAGTTAATTAATAGTTCAGTGAATAACGAAGTTGGTGAAAATAAATTGGCGAAACAAGTTAAATTACCCACTGCCGTTAACTTCAAAACCCATTCAAGAGCCACTTCACGCAATTTTAACCGATAAACAATATTTTAGAAACCAAGGATTTCCAATATATCAGTTTTACGATAAGCTACAGACTAATAACAAATTTAATCATGTATTTTCAAGACATTTAACTCTTTTCTATAAGTTACATAACGTGTCCAAAAAAGGTAATTTAATTTTTTGCGCTTAAAATTTACTTCCAGGGATTCTTTTTCGTGCATATATCAATTTCACACTTTAGACCAAATGAGGAGCTATATATTTTGAAAACATTTATTTTGACAATGGATGGAAATCATAAACATGACAACGATGTGTATAAACTCTTGCTTGAAAGCTCGTTCGAAAATTTCTGTTTGAGCCTTAAAATCCTGTAATGAGTTTTATGTGAAGAACAAAAATAAGGTACAATTAACAAAGTCTATTATTTCTAGCTCATGGTGTCAGCAAAAAATGTCCATGAGATAAATTAATGCTAGTGAAGCACAAATAGTATATTTAAAGCAAACAAAATTATCATGTAAAAAGTGTCGAATAGTTCAAATTCACATGCTGATAAACTCCTTCAAAATAAGACTTTCTTCCTTATTGTGGCAGCCGTGATATTTGGATAGATTGGAAGTGTTCATGTACTCAGATAACAACATAAAGCTATCCCTTCTTAAAGGGAATACTAATTTATCAAGGTAAAAATTTACAGCTTATATTCAGAAGCTGAAGGGACAATTTTGATCCACGGAACTAGAGCTCTCCTTAACAGAAATTTTGGTGTCTTTTGTGTGTTATTGCACCAATCACTAGAACGTCCCACGGATAATTCATTTATCCATAAAATACTTTCGTCAAAGTCGATTTAATGTGCAGAGGTAATTAATAACCCCAAAATTATTAATCAACAGCATTACTTAACACTGCATGCTGACCTACATTGTCAAAGACGACTCATTAGGCTGAAGATTTGTGGTAAGTAATCCATGCCACTCGGCACGCTGTCGTGTTAAGTCCAGTCGTTCGTACTGATCAAATGCAACTGTTTATATTTAACGTATGTTTCGCATGATAGCAGAGCCACATTCTTCAGTCCTGGAACCGACGGTTCGTTATTCTTACATGGGTGGCGTCTCTGAATACTATGTAGGTCAGGATCTCCAGGACACACGATGTGATACATTTTCTCACAAATGAAGAAAACTCCTGTGGATGCTTTCGCCAATATATAACTCATACCTCTGCATCTCAGAAGCCAGGCAACTACTGTAAAGCTTAGCGAACCGTTTCAATGCAGTAAATGTACCGTAATAGGTAGTAATAATAATAGTTCAGAAAGTAGGCAATAATTGGCACTTCTTTATGATCTGGGGATTATTAAATTTATATCCGGTTTATGCGATAACCTTCATGTGTCCAGGTAGCGTCAACTCCACCTTAACAGCTCCTATAACCTTTGCACTAACATCACTGTCTAAGACGAATGCAACGGCTTCAGGGGAAAACTACAGAAATGCCCATAATAAGGGGGAAGTTAAACGGGTTCTGGGCTTGTCGAATGCCTCTTGGCATTCAGTTATTCAAACAAATCTATATCATTTCTCATTTAGGCATTCAGCATGTTACAAGACTGTCGAAATTCTAACTAGACAATAGCAATGACTAACATGGCCAGGGGAATGGTAGACTTATGTTACTGTCTTTAGAAAGAACAAGAACAAATTAGGTGGACCTTACTTTTATCGTAACTAACCTTCTATAGCGTGATCTCACGTCCTAGACACGTGGCAAGTTTGGCAGAAAAATGGCGTTCAGACGACGAATGTGATTGAACATCAGTTTTAGATTCGTGTGATGTTCCACAAGAGATCGTCCAAATCCAATCATCTTCCAAATAGAGGGCGTATTATTTGGGGACCAGGCTTAATAATACCACTTGGGTGATGGCAGTCAGTCACCAAAAAAAGGAATTTCCACACAGATATTTATGGCCTGATAACCCATTCCTTCAACATGTCCCGTACCAAAACATCAAACTGTGGCTGACAGTGAACGTGTGTTCTGTGGAAAGGCTACCTAAAAGTTAGATTCATATGCACCCGAATCTCATGATGTAAGAAACAGTTGCTAAATTCCCAACTAAATTTCCCTGCTTATCTAGTTACATGCGGATGTGTATCATACATATTATCTTCACCGGGAGCAAGCGGCTTAAAGCAGATTGATCCTGCTAAACAGTTCCCTGGGACGGAATATCACAAGAGCACAGTTTCATACAAAGTTTTACTAGATGGGTGACAGCTGACTGGTCGGTCAAAAGGTCAGCTTCCAATAAAATGTCTTGTATCGTTATCTCACAGAAACCAGATCAATGAACACAGGGAAATCCACCTAACATGAGTGACAAGATAATCATGTAAATTACTTTGATGGTGGTGTTTTAAGAAGGGGGTTAGGTGAAGCCTCAATCTCCACAAGGGCTTGTCGAACAGAACAGCGTGGCGCTGATGCATCAATCAACAATATTACTTAAAGACCGTACAATAAGCCTGTAATCTCCAGCTGGGGCTGTGAGAATTCAGTAAATTATAGAAACAATAAAAACAGGACCACCTGACAATCTGCTGCTGTAACAAACATGTTGGGCAGGGAAAAAGGCGATCACGCGAAATTTTCGCGCGTAGTAAGGTGAACTCTATAGCTCTAGCCATGCAAAAGAAACAAATTCAACTACCCGAGCAAAGTGAAGTCGTAGTTGACTGACTCATTTCTACCTATGCAAGTGTACTGAGACAACAGCGCAACAAGTTTGATTTACAGCAAATTTTACTGTCATCCATTGTCGTCTGAAGCCAAGGTATTCATCATGTCATGACTGTGATTACCATCAGTGGGTTACGTTGTTATTGGCCTCCACTCGCATTTACGTGCAACTAAATATAGCCAGAGTTCTGAATGCACATTATGCCATGAATTTGTAAATCCTGACTTTGAAGAGCCCATGCAAAAGGGAAACAAAATGCCTGGTTGTTTGTCTCTACGAGTTATGTAAGTAACTCTTGGAATGGCCAGCCGTCGTTAGACCGCTGGTGTCTCCAGAAGCTGTTTGAGTACGAGAATCCAGATAAGGGTCTTAAGTAAATTCAAAATGAAAGAATAGCCACAAGGATTGGTATATAAGTCTTAGGTTTATCGCCTATTTATGACTAACAAGCAAAATGTCTAGAAATCAAGGAGAGAATAATGTCTGGAAAAAATACACAGTCCGTAAACATTAGCTAACAGACCTTACCGTAAAGTGATGAGAGCTTTGATTTCGTTTTACGGACGGTATTAATCACAGTCCTAATGTTTTACTGCCTAAACATTAATTCTGCTAGTGAGCACTCATTGTGCCACATGACGAGTAGTCTATGCACCATAAAAACAACTGAGTTTGTTGTTATGTCAACGCTGTGAGGTTGTTCCATTGTAATTATGCCTTAAGGCTAATAACTTGTCTGAGGAGTCATCTTCTCACAGCCCATTACATAAACATATATATACCGGACATTATGATTTGTGTTTCGTCGACCGATGTGGTGCATACTGGTTTATAAAGAGGTGTAGGATCCTTTTGGATATAAACTGATGTTTTCACTCCTCAGCCAACCAGTGGTTTTTTTGAGTGGAATGTTGTGATGGGCCGAAATATGGTATGTATTTCTGGACTGCCGCTGCTAGGAAGTGACAAGTGCTTAACCTACCAGAGACCATGGACAAATGACAGAATGTAACAATATAATGAGTCAAATGGCATAAGTGCTTGACCGCACAGTTCCGCCTAGACTAGTTGACATAAAAAATGAAACTCCAGCACTCCAATTTCGGTTAAGATGAACCTACAGGCTCATAATTTTGATGAATTATTTACTGCAACATACTCATCAGCTCATGTAATTAGGAGGTATGTCGGAATAGGAGGCTACACGAGTGGCATGAATGATTTTCATCGGGCCAGTTCTTCGAAGGGACCTATTATTCATGAGACATTCCAGGAATATATTTTCGTTAAGACTAGACAAATCTGTGTCTAACATGGAACTCGGTGATTAAATGTTTCCAGGCTAAAAATGTATACCATCTTGATGATTAATTTTTGAAGCTTCCGAAAATCCAGTATGAACAGAAAATTTGTAAAACAAATACTTCAACTTTTTTCAGCTTCTACTGTCAATTGAACAAATAACCTTGACCGAAACAATGAGGCACCCGCCATATTGATTTACCCTCTAATTGTGGAATACGACCAATGGGGCGGGCACTTAGCTCCCTTATTTATAAGTAGGTTGTATGTCTCTGTAAAATTCGGTACAGAAAAGCCTCATAGCTGCTTAGATGTTTTTAAAAACCAACTGACATGTGAGTGGTGACGCGCGTCATCACAGTGGTTAGGACTCTCGCCGACCATGCACATGGTCCGGGGTTCGAACCCCTACCAACGCACACCCGATATCTATGGTCGGCGTGCAAAATTTAGGCTACCGATATCCATGCTGGAAATGCCATACTTGTACTGAAAATACGGTGTGGCATCAAGCTGTAATCAAAATTTAAATAAATAAAATTTTGACTGCAATATTGCTCTTTCTATGTACATAAAATAGTGTCATGTCACCCGTTTCAGTCAAAATGAATTTTTGAAGGAGATGTCTCTGTATTTCAGATACTTTTGTATCGTAAAACATAACTTACTAGAGTCATTTGGATGTTCCAAAAAACATTTTAAAAATTAGTAGTGCACTAAAAGCAGTGTAATATTACAAAATACTATAGATAAATCACATTTACCTTAAAAGGTTGTTTTTTACTGATTTCAAAGATCCACTTTTCCCTAGGAATGTGTTAGACTACATAGTTTTCATAAGCACTATTAGCTATATATAGCTAATACCTATAGGTAATTTTCCTTTTGGTACAAAGTAGTGTTTAGAGTAATTATCGTCATAAAAGATTCAAATGCCATTACATTAGCATTTTTCATGACTGCTAAACACTGGCTAGGAAGAGAGTAGTACAAAATGAAGTACGTCTTGTTGAAACTAATGCATCTGAAGCGGAATTCAGTTGTTAGCATAACCTAGTGAGTCATAAAGTATATCCTGGCATTAAAATTAATAGCTACCATATCTCAAGATGAGTCTCACTGGCGTGTTTCATCTCGCATTAAGTGGTATAATGTGATAAGTAATAATGAGATTAGGTGTAGTTTTAAGTGACGAAGTAAAGTCAGTCCTTGAGGTCTTGGAGTTGGAAACTGTTGGTAATATCCTTCGAAGCTGTTCTGTTACGTGCAGATGTATTCTGTCTTTGTGACCCAGACCCATTAAATCCCCATTATTCTGTATGAAATTGTTCTTTGTCCTCCACATTTCTTATTGTAGTTTCTTTGCATTTCTTTTTCTCTGCTTTATGGGCGACATCTTGGGCTGCCACACCTTAATGCGCAATTCTATGTTAAAAAATTTAGTTTAGTCGTTTGTATTGTTGCTTCACGTCCCTATTTTGCATTAGGCTATGTATAATTTAATTACCCTGCCTGGATCTTACTTCCCCCATCTTACACAACTGTAGTATGCCTTATCTAGATATCTTCTGGAATGTCTGATTATTTGTATTCAGATTATATATTAAGGAAGACTACTGTGTAAGCAACATATCGGACGTAAGATGTAACTAGCACATTTCAGTCTACATGTAGTATTTAAAAAACTTTTCACTAACGTCGGCTATCAACATTTTCCCAATGAATGAGATGTCTCTCGCCTTGCTACCTTCTAACTGATAAGTGGATAATATTTTGTCCATAAGTAGGTTTGTGTCAAGAGTTAAAGTAATGGCAATGAACTCAGTTTTTTTCATTCATGTTAGCCCATAATTCATGTGTTCTGGTAAATGGCATAGAATTCACCCCTGTCAAATATAACATGGTGCTATAGGACTGGTCTACACTGGCTCTTAGTCTAACATAAGAGGTGACGTACTCTTATTGGGCACTAGGTAGTAACTAGTATCATGTATCAAGTCCTTCTTTTGGTGCGGACTGAATTCTATTAGTCAAGTTTGCATTGTGGCTACCTTACTAGATGGCTCGCCATCAAGACTTCTGATACACTGACGATTGTCAACAATCACAAAATACTACGTCTGAGATTTTTAGCTGATTGCCCCCAACAGTCTAACAACAGGATGTGAAATAGTTTAGTATTTCTACCACTTGTCTTACATGTTGCATCAGTCGTAAACTAGAGATGGCGGATGGGATATCAGTGTAAATACAACAGGGTCACTTAGCATACGTGAGTTTGCGTCATCTTTGTTACAAGTGTGAGATCTGGGCACCTAACAAAAGACATACTATCCAGCAGATCTTTTCTGCTTTACGACTGTTTTGACATGGATTTAACAAGTGTGGTTGAAAGGATTAGACATTTTTAACCATGAATGTGTTCGTTCAGCGTCGTATCGGAAGGAACAGCATGGTATTATTACGTTTGGGGAAAGTAGATTCAGGAGGTAAAGTCAGTAGCTGAGTTTATAAAGCTTCACCTATCAAGATATTTATAACGTGCTAAGTCCTCTCTTTTTGTCAGTAGGCAGTCATTTAAAGCGTTGTGGAAGAGTTAGAGATGGTCAGACTGAAATTCAGCATCAGTCTTTGAAGTCATTAGTTGTTAGTCTGAACAACATAACAAAGTATATGCTACCTGTTTAGTCATCGGAATGCTAAGAATCAATAGTTGGAATCCTGTGACACGTCTCAAAATCGTTTAAAATGGCGCGAATGTTTTAACCCTTTGTCATCCCCGAATCCAAGATACGTCTATTAATCTTGAACTGATCATTCCATCACCTATACATTTTTGTCCACCTTTTTATTACAGTCCACACTGCTTTTGTGTATTATTTCAGTGTGGCGACTTGAAATGAAACTTTGATGTGAAGCTCTATCGTCTTACGTTAGTTAGATATTTGTAATTCTAGAGATTACAGCCAGTGAAAAAGAGGAATGCTTGTCGATAGTACAATAGTACATTTATAGTATTTTTGTAAATGATGTGAATTGTGACAAAATATTTGTGATTGTAATGATCGTTAAACGTCAAGCAACAAAAATTATTTGTGTATATTTATACGGCTTGATAGTAAATCCATTGAAAGGAGTCTCTTCGCTGAATCACATATTTTCGCCTTTTTACCACTATCGGTGAACCATAAATTCAACCTTATCAATTTTTATAATTGTTACTGATGAACTTAGCGTAGGTCCTTAACAAATCCTCAGACCCGTTTAAAACTTATCGTTTAATGCAAATTGCTTAGTTTTAAAATTCAACTATCTCCTAATATTACCAAATAAGGTATAATGCTAAATGTGAGTGCTTCTGAATTCGGTTGTACGAAAAATAGCGTTAATTAAGGTGTCGTCTTCTGTTCTCGGTGTTAAAGCACCACTTAAAAAAGAAATGACCTGTGACTGATCGCTATCCGAATTATGTCGATACAAGCCTTTAAAAGTAACATTACTTTGCATACTTCCAACGTTTAAACGTGTACTCTATCTCTACCTATTGATCAATGTGGGTAAGTAGACGTAGATATTTGTAGTACTATAGTAATGTCTTAATTATTAATTAATGGGTTTTTATCTGTCTGCTTACACAGGTTCTTTTAATTCTGCGATGATGTTTGAAGAGAATGGACCAGATTCACAGGTACCTCGTCCACAGGAAAGGAAGTCTACTAGGAAAAGTCTCCGCATTGAGGCTCCTTGTTCGGTTAACGACATTTCAAGAGAGCAGTCATTAACCATAGATACCAATGACAAGATGGATGATGAAACAGTTGAGAGGTACAAGAGTGAATGCCAAAAGTGGGATCAATTGGTGAAGGACTATGAAACGCGTCTGACATCACTTAATGATGATACTAACTTCCCATCTAAGGAATGGATCAGTACAGATCGTGTCACCCAGGAACATTTAAATCTAATTTATCCCGAAAAGTATTTAGATACTTACGATTCCCTAGAGAGTTTGTCGAATTCTCTTGTAGATATTAATAACGATATATTTTATGAACTTGAGAAACTTTCTCGTCTAATTCAAGAACAGTATCTGTTCTTGAAAAGTTTTAGGAAGAAGTTATGTTTGAAACAAAAAATTTATCAAGACATGTACAACCTCTCCGATTCCCCAACATCTCTCTTATCTGAATTTCTTAACACATAAATCTGTCCTTTTTCAACTGCCAAAACTCTTCCATTTTTGTCTCTTAGGAGTTTTCATATTAATAAAGATCATTGCTGAGAGTTTGAAGTACATAACACTGTACACAATTAAAATTCAGAAGCTTATTACAGATTTCTTAACTTAATATTGCAAAGTTTATTAATTCATGGAGTTGCTTAAATCGACTACATCTAGCAAGTTGTTTCAGAACATTGGAAAACATTTGCAACATATGTCAGTCAAACAACAATATGGTTTAATTCTTTAATATACTCAAATATACTTTTTTAATGTATTGTAATCTGTCTTCACTGCACATGATATAATCCCATTGCTTTTTATTGTTGTAACCTCGCTAACTAAAAGACTGATATGATCTGGTTAGCGCATTCTAACCTGTAAATACTTAGGGATCAATGCTACTAAGCGGCACACATTATTGGTTTACCCTTACGAAGGACACTGAATGTCTGGTCTTAAAGGCTTCCGGACTCGAATTCGACTGGTTGTTCTTTACTTTTGAGCTTTTAAAACCGAAGCGTATTTGATACATTGTCGCAAATAAATTGATGTAAAATGTCCATTATCTGTCTGTATATATTTATTTCTAAAATTTAGTTACATGCATCTATTGAAGATTGGTACATACATACCAAATAAGAATACTAAAGTAATCAAAATAAAAGTCATATCTCGAAGCTTAGCTTTTGAATTATCTTAAAAGTCGGATACAATGAAACGGACAAATTCCTCATAACGAACATTTCCATCATTATCAACTCTAGCTATGTCCAGCATTGCTTCCATTTCTTCGTCAGTCAAATTTTCACCCATTGTACAGAGTGCACGCCGAAGTTCAGAAGCTGGCAGAAAACCATTATTTTCTACGTCAAATGTACGAAAAGCTTCAATTATGTCTGATTCTGTGTATACGTCGTTATATTTTCTTGATGCTATTTCACAGAACTGGTCAAAAGTGATACCCTCATTAAGCGCTGTCTTCTCTTTGTCAACTTCGCGTATTAATTCCTGAAACAGACATTTAGTTTCATGCTAGTTAAAAGTAGCTTCGGAACATCGTAAACTAACAAAATACTTTAAGTCCTAACATATATACGGTCTTAAACAATTAGTTGCTTTAACAAATTTGGCTAGCGTTATTAGAAGTAATTTAAACTAAACATGAGTTGACTAATATCAGGCACATCTTAACATGATCTATGAGTGACACCTTATTACAGATAAAAATAATAAAGATCCACAAATATATGCAGATTACGACCCATAACTAAGCAGTACTAGCTTTTATCTCCACGTTCACCATTGAATATTTTCACTTTCCTGGACTGAACCAAATAGCATCTGTCGCAGATATGTGTTTTTGTGCAGTTGCTTTTCTTCTCTTAGTCGTGTTTTAGTGTTCATAGTGGTCACACGAAACAGTTTGAGATTAACTAGTTGGTTTTATTAGTGATAATAGTAAGTTTCAGGCTATAAGTATTTTTAGACTGCCTGGTGGCCATCTGAAAATATGAAACGACTTTGGTTGTACTTACAACAAATGGCAAACATAATCGTTGGTCGTTTTAAAGAACATCTTGCTAATTAAGGATAGTCTTTGTAAGCTGTTCTGGATATTTCAGTAGTTGGTCAGTCGATAATGCTTAAAAATAACTGGAAAAAGTAACACTTCCTAAATTTAACTGTATTATTTTAGTTTTATTGAATCACTTGTTTAATTTTTATAAGTCACTGTTCATTGTGGATTTCTAATTAGCATTTGCACACATATTAGTTAACTCTATATTACTAGTAAAGTTTGGATAAGTCGATCTTTTCTTTTGTCATACGAGTGCTGGGTGGGAAATGTTCAATTCAGTGTAAATTTGTGCTTGGCAGAATTTTGAAGTCAACATTCGTATAAAAAATACAGTCCGACTGAATAAAATGCGTTTTGAATATCAGTTACTACCGTATCTTCATTGTCAGTTACCCTGTTATCTGACGACGAATCCAGTTTTGTATTTATTCATGTTTTGAACTTGTGCGTCGGTGGCACAGCGGTTAGGACACTCGCCTACCAGTCACATGGTCCGGGGTTCGATCACCGGCCGACGCACACCTGATATCACTGGTCGGCCTGCTAAATTTGTGTTACCGACATCACATGCTGAAAATTCCATACTTGTACGAAAATACTGTATGGTATCAAGCTATAATGAAAAAAAATAATAAAGTAAGTGATAAAAGTTTGCCACTTAATAGTTTATTCTTGTCGGAGCTTTTGTTCTTAATGATTCGATATGATGAATAGCAATTACTATCCACTAATAGGAACATGTAACCACGTAACCGGAATTAGAGGTTAAAGGAAAGAATTTCTTTTGTCCACTCCATAAGTTCAAGAATCTAAACCAGTGGGTCGGAAAACTACTGTTAAAGCCAGTCAGTGGATTACCTTCACTTTTGATCACACGATAAAGAGTCAATTTCACAGTAACGCATTAGATTATCTAATGTAACGGAGGACTACAATACCGATAAATTGCTCAAAATATCTTCTACTTATTCATACTGTGTCGCAGTGTCTTATTTCAGACAAATGAAACCATATTTCCATAGTGTCAACATTCTACCTTTGCACTTTTATCTTTACACAGACATCTAAGTCACCTTTCAGATTAGGATAGGTTTGTCTATGAGTAGTTTCACTTGGTTTTACTCCATAATCTTCTCCAGGTAAAGGTCTCTGATGAATTTCGAAATCAAGTAATTCTGACTGCCACCTAATTCTAGTAAAAGTAGCATAATTCACCTTATTTTTTATTTTTTGACAAAGTATAATTACTAAGCAGATTTATTGTCACTGCATTTTATAACTTTCAAAGTGTATACTTTTAAATAAAGCAGCAAATATCTAGACTCACCTCAACCTCTATGTTTGAAGGCATCAAACCTACTCTTCGCATCAACAAAGTTACTTCTGGAACGGGTATTTTCCCTGTGTTATCTTGATCTAATAAGTCAAATTGTGCTTTATATTCAACTAATGCCTCTTCTGTAAGTTTGGCTTTCGGTTTTCTAGCTGATGTCATTTTTCATTCTACAATCAAGTTAATGAATACTGTTGTAACTGTCTGTGTATTACTCACAATGCAACACCAATTATAAAGTTGAATTATGAATGTGTTACATTAAGAAGTTGACCGGATAATTAATGTTTTAAGTTTGATGGGAAGTGGATAGAATTGTAGAGGCTTTCGCTCCACATTTCTTTAGAAACAATCTATGTTAAGTTTTCTGCCTAGAAAATCAATTGTCAGAAGAAATAACTAAGTGTTTTATCATACGTTGAGCTTGAAGAAAGACCTATTAGAATTAATGCGGTACATATACTTGGTTTGTAGATGTGAGGATATCCACAGTCTCACTCTTTACAACATTGATCTGAGTAAGAAACAGTTGTGTTAAGCAGTTAATATTCTTGATTTAGAGGCTTTGTACAGGATTGATGGGTATTAGTAATGCCTGGCTTAGATTATAAATATGATTTCCCAATGCAATCATAGTCGTGGTGTTTTCAATTGAGCTGAAGAAAAGCTCGTCAGTGTAACAACATGTGTGGTCCACTTTGGTTGCAACCAACCCAACATTGAAGTCGATTCAGGATTCCGGTACAAAGGTTTGCACCAGTTTGACTTCTGAAAGTGAAATTAATGGAACAAACCTGTGGTAAGGATACTGTACTTCTGCTTTCGATGTCGACTATTGGCAACAGTATGACCCAAGTTTACAATAATCGTGAATCAATGCTATCAACTTCTAGACTAACGGTTTTTTCCATATTCGATTTTGAAGTGATTCGAAAATGGGGATAAAATAGCACTTTGAACTATCTACTCATATAACTCTCACTAATTTCGCTATTTTTTAGCATTAGCTGCAGTAACTCAGTGTCTACCAAATATTTTTTCGGCAACATTACAATGACCTCTGCACCGAATGGCATCACTTCAACAATTAGCGCATTAGTGAAGCATCCAGAAAAATCTTTGAGCACTGCCCGCATTAAGTCAGTGCAAAACAGGTTTTTTAAGGACTCAGAATGTTCATTTAGCAGCGAAGTTCAACAATAGCGTCCCAGGAGTGTGAACGCTCCAGTGATCTTGAACGCGTGCTAGTCGTTGGCTAACGGCATCTGTCATTATAATGCTGAAATATCAACACTATCCACCAAATTCGGAGCAAATTTCACCCAGATCACGTTTTTAAGTACTGTTTAGACAATGTGTTAATAGCTTGTTAGGGTTAAGGTAAGTATTGGTATAAGGTTTAGGATCAGGGTTAGAATTACGGTTTGGATAAGGGTCAGGATTAAGCTTATGGTTAAGATTAGGGATAAATTTATAGTTTATGTCTTTTGTTTTAATTTGTTTTATTATCCACGTTTTCCTGGTAAGTAGTCGTCTATCCTCTTGCTGAAAACCATAACAGTTCAACCGAGGGCTTTTTTGGAAGACTGCAAGCAGGATGAGAGAAATAAACGTGCTATAAAAGCAGTTTATCTGTAGTCATCTCGGTGAATACATATACAGAAACTAATCTAACTTAGCAACTGATGCTCCTCGTTGTAACTAGGACGTATTTTTAAGCCATGTTAGAGAAAGATAACCTGTTTAATGCGTTTTTTTTTGTCGATATACATCACTTTTGAGCAGACATTCCTCATTTTTATGATTGGTCAGCTGAAGGTCACTCGTGCGTTCACACTCCTGGGACTCTATTGTTAAACCGCACTGTTCACGCATCGTTCAGCATTACTGTAAGCTTGGGGACGCTCAATTCAGTAAAGTTGATGGCTTCCGAAAATAACTTAGGACATGTTTGCTTTGTATCTGTTCGGTAGCCCGCTGCAATTAGTAGTGCTGTCATATTTTACGTAAAAATTTAAACATTTTATAATCCTAGTTTTCTAATGGAGGGATAGCGTTATTGGTAAATAACTGTGCATCTATGAACATGCCAAAAGTATTACCTCCGTCTTACTTCTACATATATTGGATTAAACAATTAGTCGAAAGGTCTGTGCGTACAATATCCAGGTCTCATGCTAGTTGGGCTCAGCTAGGTTTGCTGCACATTACAGAACACACTGCAATGACTGCAGGGGAAAACATCGGGTCCACTGCAGAAAGTGCCCCATTATTTCACACTATCTACAGTGCACCAGTTTGTGAAAGTCGAGTGAGTTTATTGATAAGTCTTCGTACAGGAAGACCATAAGTCATATTAATATACGTGTAAAACTTGGGCACTGTGGTAGTAAGTAATTCCATATTAGTTTGATACGATTATGAACAATAAATTTTGTTCGAAACGCCATCCAGTAAATAATACTGTTTGACTGTGTGATATATCTAATAAACAAACTAATATGGAATCTACACTGCACCTAAAGATTTTGTTAGGTAGGGTAATGCGAAGCTTCCACAGAAACTACCTTACTTTTGCTATTCAACTGTAGCTTCATAACGTCAATCATGACAAGTTTTATTCAATAATTCTGATCAGTTGTTCAGAGCCATTGGTATAACACTGTAGATTTTATCGGGATGGCTGGTGGAGCTTAACTTCGGTTATCAGACTGGCTTAGAAAGATATGGGACACATAAGAAGACTGTCCTTATATGACATGTGTCATTTAACGAAAAACCTACGAGTTAGAATTGGATCAAGCCGTTGTCATGGGCGTCAAGGTCAAAATTTATACAAATCCAGAAATATTCAATATCGTTTTTACGAGCCAGTATAAGCAATTCGATTTCTTTGTTCTCGCTTCTTGATTGTTAGGTAAAGGTTCCTAATCTTCGGAAAACTTCTGCGTAGTTCGTTCCACCACTCGACTGTGGTACCTACGTTGACTCCAAAAGGAGTAGTGCTAGGATTAATAATATATTGTTTGTAGTATGAGGTGTGTTAAGACTGTTACTCCTGTGAAGGCAATTGATCCTTTCACCAGTTAGTCGTCCAGTATCGTCTTCAAAAGAAAAGAGATAATAGTAATAGATATAATTAGTGAAGTTATTCAGACTAAAAGACAGAAAAAGTAAAAACAGACAGCTTATTAAATTTGAAGTTGAAACATATGTATATAATATCAATAATAGTAGGTGTAGTAGTCAGAAGAGTAAGACAAGAGAGAATGTAAAGAAGTAAAACGACGGATTTAGTTGTCTACTCTTGAATAATGTTTGGGGTTTTAAAGGCTATTGAGACGCAGTTCGTGTGTCGCTGCATGACTGTCCAGCCTTCGCTTAAAGGTGTTTACAGACGGTGCCAGGGCTACACCTGCCGGTAAAGAGTTCCAGGGATGGCGAACCCGCAGTGAAAAGGGACATAAACTGGCAGGGAAAAGAAGTAGGAGCGCGCCCGACGCCTTACTCTCCGGTGAGCTATCCTTCTGCGATTTCCACGAGGAAGCCTATACCTACTCAATGGCAAAACACCTATGTTTGGGTGATTCTGGTCATTAGTTACTTTGTAGACAGTAATTAAATTCCCCGTAAGGCGACGGTAACTGAGTGTGAATAGGCCTAATTTCTTCAGCCTTTCGTCATATGGTTTATTTCGGAGACCAACCACTCCTTTTGTTGCCCGTCGTTGGACTCTTTCCAAGAGGTTGGCGTCTCTTTTAAGCAGTGGGGGTGCAATGATATTATGCACTTCAAGATGCGGTCTGACGTATGTTTTATACAACCTTAGAAAGAGCTCAGGAGTGAGTGCACCTAATTGTATATGTGTAAAGTGTATGACCGCATATGCCCTCGCGACATCCCCCGTGTAATTTACGCTTGTGTCCATTTTCTCCGTTAGAACTAGCCCTAAGTCGCGTTCCGACGTTGTGCGGGACATGCTTTCATTGCACAGGGAGTAACTTGCATTCTGCAGTCTACAGGTGCGTAACTTCACTACTTTGCACTTTTTCAGGTTGAAAGTCATGCCACTGGTTACCGCCCAGTCTTCCAGAAGCCTTAGATCTGCATGCAGTCTATCTGAGTCCTCCGGACACTTTATCGCCCTCCATATCTTTACGTCATCAGCGTAAAGAAGAGTCGGGCAGCTTAGACGGCATGGTAGTTCATTGATAAAAATCAAGAACATCAGTGGTCCTAGGACAGAACCCCGCGACAATCCTGATGACGAGCCGTGCCATGATGATCGGACTTGATTTATCTTAGTGCAGAGCTTCCTTTCAATTAGGTAGTTGTTCAACCGTGACAGAAATGACTCACCAATGCCTGCCTGACTTATTTTATGTAGAAGATCATGGTGAACTGTATCAAATGCCTTCTCTCTAGACCACATGGACTGGGATATTCATATCCCAGCACGATGTCCAATCGTCACAAGCTGATAGTATGTTTGTTACACAGGATCTACCTTTCCTGAAACCGTGTTGGGCCCCATGGATTTCTGATACCACTCGGAAAAAGGATGGCTCCTTTCCACTCCCTTGTCAGTTTCCCTGAATCCATTGAGTTTTGAAATAAGTCTCGCAAGGACCTACAGAGAGCCTCGGTGCACTGTTTCAGAATAGCTTGCCTGGTGTCGTCACAACCTGGGGACTTTCCGGATACGAGCCTCTGTAGCTTCCCTAGTAGTATTGCTGGGCTTATTTGTGGAGTAGCCACTAGGTTTTCCTCCGGTGAAGTAATAGTGCCACCATTCTGATCCGTGTCACTAATACCCACATTGCTGCTTAAATGTTTGGCGCAGGATAAACTGAATGTTCCTGGCATCTTCAGACTATTGAGGTATTGTCCATTTGGACCTGCTAAGGCGCATGCCCCCTGTTTGGTTTTTTTCCCCTACATGAACTGGTGAAGCCTTTCGGGGTCAGCTAGGAGTTTTTTGGCAAGGTTAGCCTGAAATTTCCTCCTGTCACTCCTGACCCTCACGTTGCACAGGTTCCTGAATTCCAGGTATGCGTTATGGTCTGTCTGACTCTTGGATACTCGCTGAGTAGACCAAGCCTTCCGCTTCGCTTGCGGAATACATTGCGTACCTCTCTTCAGCCATGAGGAACTTTCCTTGGTCTGTGTTGAGACCACAGGGGCGGTATCCGAGGTTGCTGTGAGAATAATCTCTTTTGCCACCTCCCAGTGTTCATCCACAGATTACTCATCCCATGATAAGAGTCATTCTGCGTCGGACAAAGGCCTCCGCATTTCAGCATAGTCAGCCTTGCTATAACACAGACATGGTCGCGTAGTGTCCCCCTGAAAGTGCTCACGAAGAACAAGATCGAGCCCTATGACTGCATGTTCACCACCTCTTAGTGGAGTCATCATCTGGACTTTTTCGACGAGTAGTTGGTCACTAGTCTTTCCACTAGGGTCGCACCTGGTGTTGTCTCCAACATTCTCAGTCAGCCCTGTATTTTTAATGATTTTCCGTAGATTTCGACCGAATTTTCCCTGAGTATACTCCAAGCCAAGGTTCAGGTATGGGGCATTGGAATCTCCAGCAATGGTGATTTGGTCACAGACCAAGTCTTGTATCCCTATGATGGTGCTGAGCAGTAGCTGATTGTGCTCTGCCTCACATGTGGGAGATTGGTAGACGTTACCCAGCAAGTGCTTGGTGTGGCCTACGGTGAAATGACACCATATGGAGCCTGGGAGTTCAATAAGTTGTGGGTCCATTGCACGTAAGCATTTAAGTTGCTTGCCGAAGTATACGGCAACTCCCCCTTCCTTGTTATCTCTGTCTCTCCTTACTATTATCATATCACCTATACTGATTTCGTCGTCGACGAGAGTAGGGGTTGACCAGGTTTCAGCGAGTATGACTGGAGGTTTTTGAGTTCACCTACTTTCCTTCCCAGTCCTCTTGCATTGCTATATAGGCCTCTGACAATGGATCTCACAACCTCAGCATATAGTGGGGTAGTTGACGTAAGGTAGCTGACGGCCCGTTGTCGTTTTTTCCTTGTATTCGGTTATGACACTTGAGTGACACAGACCGTTATTCTCAGTACCGCATTGTCTTAGTGTCACTGAGGCCTGCGGGCGTATTAAGGCGTCAGTTTGCTGCCCCCTTATGGTTCGAGGTCTGCTTTCGCAGCATCGGATGTGTCCTCCCACTCTCCCCTAGGTCTCGTATCACCGTTGAATTGCTAGAGCCAACTGTTCCTGGAAGTTGAATTTGACACTTAGCAGTCTTGGGGAACTAATCAGTGTGAGATGAGCGGGGTGAGATAGTTGGAAGATAAAGATTGCTGCAGAAGCAACAACGGCCATCTAACATGATATCCATCTCCACTGCTGTACGTCATGCATGTGTTTTTCACAAGAAGTGCCCGTTTCCAGCTCCGGAACACCGTGTATGACCGTAGAGGTAGAAGGCACGAGTTCCAGTGACTCCCTTGCCATTTGCCTGTTAACCCATGGCCTATCATTTCTCATTTGTATGCTGAAATTCCAGTCGATAGCTAATACTTGAACCAGTAACAGTGCCATTTCAGCCTCTTCGGTAGAGCCTGGTGTAACCCTTAGTGGGGGTGGCTTACCCTGAGGTACCTGTACAGCCCTGTGCAGCCTGCATAATTTTGCTGAATTGGTGTTCAGACCCATTTTGCACTGTTTCTCATCAATCAGGGCCTGTTGTTCGAACGATCTATCATTGCACACGGGTAGATTAAAGAGGATTAGTGAATTCTACCGACTTATCTCAGACTTAGGTTGGGATTTTGGCTGTTTGTCCTCCTTTTCAAGGTTAATCACTTTGGACTTCATCAGATTCTGACTAGCCCTCGCTATGCTGCTATGCCTGCTTGTGGATGAAAGTGGTGCTCTGGTAATTCCATCTTCCCTGATGTTGCAGGTGTAACCTTGGGAGTTTTCAGTTTATGAAGATTGATATTTCCAGTCGGTTGGGCTAGACTTTCCTTCTAATGGTTTCTACCAAGTTTTGGTGGTGTGGTGTTATCAGGTGGAGAGCTGCATGAGACTTCGTCGACACACACACGAGTGGCATGCGGTTTCTGCTATCCGCAGACACGCTGTGTGAGACTGTGCCAGGTCGACAAAGTGGGCAGATGTGCCAGAACCATGGGCAAGTGTTATTTCGCATAAACTCATAATATGGTTTTGGCACCTCTTTGTCACAAAGGCAGTGTACCCATCGTTTGCAAAAGTTGCACTCAAGTGATGAATCAGTTTTCGAAACGATAATACTACAGGCCTGACATTGGTCTCTTTTTTCTAGATGACGCTTTCGAGGTCTTATAACGTCTTGAGAGTTTCTTTTGTGTCACACACTAGCTTCTAAAGGATACAGGTGTAGTATCATGTCCATCTGGTATTGCCCGTGCTATTTCAGTGCTAGACTGTGGCAGTGTAGTCGTAGTATCACGACAGGGGAGATGTTCACGGGTCTCTAGAAATGGTATGTGAGATGCGGTTGATGTCCCTGGGTTACTACCTCTTCTGGCTGAAGCTCTTGTGACCACAGAATATGGTGCTTTAATGCTTTTTCTAAGGTTAGTTTCAACAGCCATAATTATAATCGCTATAACTTGTACTATATAAGAATAAAAAGAGCAACAATGTCTACCCATCAGAACAAGAAGAAGGCTGATAAAGTTCAAGATAAA